AACGGCCCTCGGCCTCAGCGTGATTCCACATCACAACGGCCCTCGGCCTCAACATCAGAACGGCCCTCGGCCTCAACATCACCAACGGCCCTCGGCCTCAGCGTGATTCCACATCACAATGGCCCTCGGCCTCAACATCAACAACGGCCCTCGGCCTCAGCGTGAGGACATCACAATGGCCCCCAGCCTCAACATCAGACGGCCCTCGGCCTCAACATGACCCTATGTCATAATGGTTTTGGCCTTAGCGTGATCTCACATCACCAACGGCCCTCAGCCTCAGCATGATTCCACATCACAACGGCCCTCGGCCTTCATCCCTCCGACATCTTGATTTGATGTCAGAGGCTATCATACAGGCCCATCGGCCTTCATCCCTCCGGCATCTTTATTTGATGTCGGGGGGCAATCACACAGGTCCATCGGCCTTCATCCCTCCGGCGTCTTTATTTGATGCCGGGGGCTATCATACAGGCCCATCGGCCTTCATCCCTCCGGCATCTTTATTTGATGTCGGGGGCAATCACACAGGTACCTCGGCCTTCATCCCTCCGGCATCTTTATTTGATGCCAGAGGCTATCATACAGGCCCATCGGCCTTCATCCCTCCGACATCTTTATTTGATGTCGGGGGCAATCACACAGGTCCCTCGGCCTTCATCCCTCTGGCATCTTTATTTGATGCCATGGGCTGTCATACATGCCCCTCAGCCTAGCTTTCATCCCTTCGACATCTTTATTTGATGCCAGAGGCTATCATACAAGCCCTCGGCCTTCACCCCTCCGGCATATTTATTTGATGTCGGGGGCAATCACACAGGCCCCTCGGTCTCCATCCCTCCGGCATCTGTATTTGATGCCAGAGGCTCTCACACAGGCCCACCTGGCCTTGCACCCCTCCGTCACCTTTATTTGATAACGGGGGGTCCTTACAAGCTCCTTAGCTTTTTCATGCAGGATCTAAGGCTGATCTTGGATGTCCCCTCAGCAGACGGACACAACCGCCGCTCAACAATCAAGGCCGAAGGGTGCACTCCTTTTGCTTCATTCTGAGGGCATCCGGTGTACTCTTTTTCCCTCATTAGGATTTTTTCCCACAGGGTTTTTTCCTAATGAGGTTTTTAACGAGGCATCTCCCCATTGTGGAGCAAAAGGCGTCACCCCTCGGCGGCTCCTGCTGAAGGCATGCATCACTCTACTCATGTTTCCCTCGAGAAACTCTCGGCAAAAGGAGTGGGGGACTGGGGGACTCCCCTCGGCAAAACACGCAAATGTTAAAAAATTTCTATTTCTCAGCTACAGCAAGCTGAGGCAAGATCACAACGGCAATCTACTCCCCTCGACATGATGCTTTCGGCTTACAGAATGTCTCCGGCCACACAATGCCTTCGGCCACATGATGCCTCCGGCCACACAATGCCTTCGGCCACATGATGCCTCCGGCCACATGATGCCTTCGGCCACATGATGCCTTCGGCCACACAAAGCCTTCAGTCAACAAATGCCCTCGGCAAAGCACACAAATGCAGATCTCTCATTACTTTACAAACTACAACAAAGAAACACATACGAGCAACACACTTACACTCCCTTCAGGAAGCTCTCAGCCCTCGACATATGGGGGAATTGAGAAAATGAGGCACCCAACAGAACAGGGAAGCCTTCGGGGAAATCACCACAGCTACTCCTTTTCCCTCAAGTACCTTTCGGCAAAAGGAGTGGGGGACTCCTGATGGAGTATATGGCCCAGGGACCCCCGGCCCACATACTTCCTCTACTACAATCAGGCCCAACAGGCCCAAACGGGCCAAGCCCAGAAAAATGGAGCTCTAAGCAGCCCACAATACGCAAAGGGGGGCCTTCGGCCCCATGGCCGAAGGCTACCAGTGACGGAATCGAGTTTAGAAACATCACAGGAGAACAAGGCTTGAAAACCAAGCCTTCGACAACTGCAGCCCTCGGCAGGTAGGAGCCCTCGGTTAGAAGAAGCATCACAGGAGAACAAGGCTTGAAAACCAAGCCTTCGGCAACTGTAGCCCTCGACAAGTAGGAGCCCTCGGTCAGAAGAGGCATCACAAGAGAACAAGGCTTGAAAACCAAGCCTTCGGCACCTGCAGCCCTCGGCAGGTAGGAGCCCTCGGCTAGAAGAGCCTTCGGCCCAACACCCTTCAGCCGAAGGCATCCAACTCGACAGAATATCCTCTTCACATGCGCCTGGATCACCGTACCAAGTACAAACGTCACATCCAACCACCGCATTTAATGCGGCCACATGCGAGTGCCAGTGCCACCCCGGTCGAGGTGACCCCTCGACCACCAGAAAACTGACACGTGTCCTTATCTAGCATTTATTACTACTATAAATAGCACCCCTTTCCCCCATTGTAAACGACGCTTAATACATATCGAATATACACTCTCTCTCTTACTTATTTGCTCTGACTTCTCTCTAGTTATTCTCCGCAATAACCCCTCGGATAAGCTACCCCTCGGGTACACTATCCATCATCGACTTAATCATTAAGTTGGAGAATAGCAGTCCTTCCTATTAAGACGTGTATTAAGGCAATATTTAGTGTTATAAACTTATTATAAAGATATAACACCGATATAATATTTAGTAACAAAATTTTTTCATACCAGTCAAAAGATATTTACTCCAAGACGGCTCTTTAAATTGTTGAAAGATACGAAGTCAAATTTATAATTTGGCACTTCAATTGCTTCTCCTTTGATGAAAGTGTTATGGAAGAATTGTAGCATGATTTTATTATCGGCTACAACATGAAACTCTTCTTTATTTGGAACCACTGAGAATTTTTTTATGATGTGTATCATTCCTTCCTTTATTTTGGGACGCAATGTATGAACATATCCACTTCTTATAGATGTATGAACATAAGTACCCTGAAACTAACCATTAAAAAATATCATTAGATTTTTGCATAAAATAGGTGCATTTAAAATTTGAAACATATTTAAATAGAGAAGTATACCTCTTCATCAATTAGAAGCATGTCTAAACAAATTAAGGTGTTGTCTTTTGTGATTGATGACATCACAGGGGTGTGTAACATGAACTTTAATTGTCCAGTCGGACTTGGATGTATCAAGTTGACGTATTAGAGAATAATTTCTGCATTTTATGAAATATTAATCAATCAGGTATAATGCATAATATTATGCATCATAAACATGTGAATGGTAAACAATACGGAGTATAATTCTTCAAACGAATGAGAAAGTCAATAGTGAAAATACACTTTAGTTTACATTCTCTTTCTTTTTATAATAGCTTACATATGCAGTATATGTAGTTTTTATGTTTCTAAATTCTAAATTTAGAAACATAAAATATAGCCTAATGTAGAGCCCGTTTGGTAGCACTAAAATTAGATGAATTGGGATGGATGATTCTGCTAAAATTTATGAAGATCTGGCTAAAGTTGCTGTATTGGTTAATTCTGCTGATTCATAAAAAAATTATATCTAAAAATATTTGTTATTAATAAATAAAATAAAAAATTATATGAAAAATAGTTAAAATGATCTGATCCTCTACAGTAACTTCAGCCAATACAGCCAGAAAAGTAACTTCAACCTTACTTTTTCTGCTTATTACATAATTCAGCTTGCAAAATCAAAGTTACGTGTTTGATGAAAATGTTGGCTGATAAGCCTGATAAACCGAAAAAAGAGGTCATCAAACGGGCTCGTAGTTGTTTTGAGAGATGATGGTGGGAAATATAGCCCACTGATGCTACGGTCATCATTCATCAATTGGTTCGTATAGTCATTACTGTTTAATGTTAAATATGGAAATATAGCCTACTTATGCCATGGTCATCCTTACATACGTTTTTTGTTTCTAGACAACAACCGCATCCAAGCCTTAGTCCCAAAAGCTATTGAGGTCGGCTAACATGAATCGATAAATGATATCACCACCAAAAGGAAAAGAAAGGAAATAAAGATAAAAAAATAAGCTATTATAAAAAGATAATATAAAAAGAGATGAATATACATAAAAATGATAAAATATAAAGGATAAAAATAATGCTTATATATATAAGGATAAAAAATCAGGAAAAAAGATGAGGGAAAAATATGATACGAGATCACTCCTCCACATGAATACCCGCCCTCCACCTAGCTCTCTCCAAAGTCATGCTCTCATCCAACCCCAGAAGAAGCATATCACTTCGAACTCTCCTAACACACGTCTGTTTAATTTGGGTCTTCCTCTCCCTCTCTTCTCTACCTCTTCTCCACACATCTCAACTCGTCTGACAGGTGTATCACTCGGTCTTCTACGCAAATGACCAAACCACCGTAGGCGCGACTCCCGCATCTTGTCTTCAATAGGTGCTACTTCCACTCTTTGTGTGATTGTCTCATTCCTCATACGTTTTTTGTTTCTAAATTGTGAAATTAGAAATTAAAATCTGGCCTACATGTACGTTGATTTTGAAGTTGATAAGTTACCAAATAAGATGAATTTCCATATTAATTAACATGTAATAAAAACAAAACGTATAGAAAATAAAAGGTATAGAAATTAATTAAATAATTGTTATATATAATGACATGGCAGGGTTATGTGGCACTCTGTATGCTCGTAAAAAGTTCCTTTTATATATATATATATATATATATATATATATATATATATATATATATATATATATATATATATATATATATATATGAAATAATTAAAAGTTGTTTACAAAATATTTATTATAGTAATAACTTTAGTCAAGTAACTTATACTCAATTTTTATACTTAAGTGACTATGAGACTATATTATATTAGTAGTATGTAATTATTGGCCATGTTTTTATACATAAATTTTATTTTAGTAATATTTTTGAAAAAATCTCTTTATATTTTCTAAAGTTAGAACAGCCAATTAAACTTAAATAGTAAATATAACAAATGTGAGGTGAATTAAACATTACAGATTAAATGTTACCCGTAACATTTATTTTTGCTTCAGGAGCCCATACAATTGGCGCAACACATTGCATGAACGTTAGGAAACGTTTGTTCGATCCGGCGGCCCGACAAGGAAACGAAATTCCGGCTGATTTATCGGCGTTGCTAACGGTAAATTGTCCGTTAGGATCGTTAACTTGGAACGTGTCATACCTCCCAAATGACGAGACCCCTATGATCTTTGACAACCGTTACTATGCTAACACAATGAGACGGTGGGGCGCCATAAATATCGACGCGGTGATGCCGTTGGACCCGAGGACCGCCGGCCATGTACGGCGTTTTGCGGCTGATCAGGGTGAGTTTTTCCGGGCATTCTCCTCCGCCTTTGTCAAGCTATCATCTTCGGAGGTTCTTACGGGAAAACAAGGTGTGATTAGGAGGACTTGTAACTACTTATAATAGGAAACACTTCTTCGGTGTACATCTTTGACTGCACCGTCCACAATTGACGGAAAGATAGTATGTTTGAGATGTTTTTAATCGGATGGTTTGAATCTCAAATTTAAAGAGATTTAAACACATCAGACCAAATAGGACTAGACTTCGATAGTTATAAAATACGTAGTATATCCGGCCGATCCACTACAACTAAAAAGAATTTACGTTTAAGTGTGTAACATTAAGGTGGATCTAATTGCATGCATTGACGAGAGAAATTTAGCAATACTCCCGCAGCCAGGGGCGGAGCCAGAGCACTGGGTCAGACTGGACTGACACAAAGAATATTTTTGGAAAAACTTTTACACAGAATATTTTACACTAAAAATACAAACATTTTTTAAATTTAGGCTGGGTCGGGCCGGGGCCTGGGTTGGCCCTCCCCTAGCTATGCCCCTGTTGGAAAAATAGGAGTTTCAAATGAAAAAAAAAGTTTTCTCAATTTTAATTATTTTGATAACTTAATTTAATCAAACATGTATCTTGCAAAATTATTAATTGTTAAACTCATTGTTTAATATTGAATTTTAAATTCACTGCACACATTAAATCTCTTATACTAATATGAACGTTGCTATGGAGTTATATCAAACATTAATATTCTTAATTAATATACAAACGTTTTTCTTAGCTGGAAGCAACGGTTCAAAGTTTGTATATTACACTTTGGCTGGAAGCTACGGTTTAACATACGGTTTAACATTGGCCACTATATAATCACATTGGCTCGTAAATGTGTATATATAGACACTTGTATGTGGCTAAGAAGATATATGATTTTTGATTGAGTATCAGCCTACTAGCTAATATATACATAAAATTTTGGAGTTAAACACCCCCTAATATTTTCACTCTGCTGGATTAATAATTTTATTCTACTCTCGTTGTTCTATTACCGGCCTACGCCGAAGAGCTCGTTTTATCTTGGGGAAAGGTTTTTGCTAGTCGGAAATACTTTCTTGAGGACAGCGTTTACGCGACTCGAGCTATATTATTTTTCTAACGCTTTTTTGCAGGTTTATCCGGCCAATTTCCTCCAACAATTATATATATATATATAAAGGTTTTCGCTAGTCGGAAATACTTTCTTCAGGACAGCGTTTACGCGACTCGAGCTATATTATTTTTCTAACGCTTTTTTGCAGGTTTATCCGGCCAATTTCCTCCAACAATCTCAAGAAAGTATGGCGTCGGATACACCTGCTCAAATCATTTCCATTCCCGACACACCAAACGGAGCTGCAAATTCTTCCGCCCAGCCAGACTCACACGTCAACATGCAGCTCGTTCATGCGAAGCCATTTCCCGATATTTCCAAGATTGAAGTATTTTCTGGGGTAAATTTCAAAAGATGGCAAGAACGTTTGTTCTCAACACTTGACATGCATGGCGTTGCCGATGCTCTCACCCATGCCATGCCCGACGACAAATCTCCCGAAGGCATCAAACTCCTTCAACAATGGACCTACTCGAATAAGGTTTGTCGTCACACTATTCTGAGTACTTTATCTAACGAGCTCTTTGATGTTTATTGCACGAAAAAAGTGGCCAAGGAAATATGGGATTCTATGATTGCCAAGTACACAGCCGAGGACACCGTCAAACAAAAATTTGTGATAGGAAACTATTACAAATGGGAAATGAAAGACGACAAGGACATAAAGGCACAAATTCATGAATATCAAACGCTCTTGGAGGATCTCAAAGGCGTGCAGATCGAGCTGCCCGAACCTTTTGTTGCCGGGATCCTCATTGAAAAATTGCCCGAGTCATGGAAGGACTACAAGCGCGACCTCAAGCACAAATTTGGACCCATGTCATTAAATGAAGTGATCACACACATTATCATTGAAGACACCAATAGGAGGGAGGGATCCAAGGCTCAAATCATGCAATACACTTCCAACGCCAACCTAGTGGAGACTCAAAACAAAAGGAGGTATGATAATAATAATGAAGATAATAACAAGCCCAATTACAATAAGCCTAAATCTAACACCAGCTTTAAAAAGGAAAAACATTGTTATGTGTGTGGAAAACCGGGACATTTTGCAGCACAATGTAGGAAACGGGCAACTATGAGAAACAACAAACCACCTAGACCAAGTGCAAACTTGTCCTTGAATGATGTGCTTCATGTGCCTGAAATTCGCACTAATTTAGTCTCGGTTTCACTTTTGGGGAAAGCTGGAGTTAAGGTGTCCTTTGAATCAGACAAAATTGTGATGACTAAAAATAATGTCTTTGTGGAAAAAGGCTATTGTAATCATGGACTGTTTGTTCTCAATGTTTCTGAAATAATGAATTGAATGTCTTTTGCTTATTTGATTGACTCCTATAATGTGTGACATACTAGATTAATATATGAAAATGATTCTTATATCTAATTGTTAAATGTTTGAGGTTTGATTTCTAGTATAAAATATATATATATATATATATATATATATATATATATATATATATATATAAAATTGTGATGTTTGTGTTCAATCATGATTTTCATTGTGATGTTTGTGGTCAATCTAAACCAAAAAAAAATGAAGTGGAGAGAATCTAATTTTATTTCGGGATTTTCAGTGGCATTCAAATTGTGTTGATCTTTATATCTGTTGATTCCGCGATACGTACTATATGAAACTCCTAAATATTCTAAGATTGATATTTAGTGATATGGGAGCACCTCTAGAAAATTGTGATATATTTGATGTTTTATATAAATTTTATTAGAGCATCTACACTGTGTTTAGAGGTGGCAAAAGTTCTTTGCCACATTAATTGGTGATTTTTTGAGATAAACTAAATTTTATCTGATTTAAATTTAAAGGGCGAGTCATATTTGATAAAATCATTGTGTACAGATAAAGGTTGAGATATAAATTATCTCTCTATGAAGTCTAGAATGGTTATGCACCTGCTTTGAAATATTTAAAATTGTGGGGGTGCTTAGTTTAATTTTTATTATCTATCTCTTTGAGTGAAATGAGCTTTATAACTCTTTGCTACTTTTGCATAAACTAAAACAGTGGAGCACATATATAATTTTTCTTAAATTGAAGATATGGTGTGCTAATGTGCATCCCAAATTATTGGATGTTTATTACATTTTATAAATTTTACTAGGTCCGACATAGTTTGTGTTGTCGGAAGATTGAGCCGATATACTCATGACCCAAGTAGGGGTCATTGGACTGCGTTGAGGCGGTTATTGAGATATTTGAGAGGTGCCATTAATTATGGTATTTTTTTTAGATTATCCGTTGTAATCTATTGATACAACGATGATATGTTTTATTGAGAAATATTCATTGTTCTAGAGCGGTACAATGATGTTATATGAGAATTATCCATTGTACTATAATGATACAATGATGGTATATATTTTATTGATAATTATCCGATGTACTAGAGGGTCACATCGATGTTATATTTTGTTGAGAGTTATCCGTTGTATTGCTGGGATACAACGACGGCATTTGAGTATATTCAAATTAGATAAATTAAAATAGTGGATATTCATTCACCCTTAAAAGTGGTGCAATGATGTTTGAGAATGGATCTATTTCCATTAATTTTGTGAAGTCACAAGGAATTAGCTACTCCTTTGACAGAATCCCTAGGACGAAAAATGATAACCGAAACATCGAAGGAAATGGGACTAGTGTCACTTTGAAACAAATGGGGATGGGAACCCAACTTGTGTGATTGGAGATCCCATGAAGCAAGTTCAAATGGGTAATAACAAGTCTTCCATTTAGTTATGCTAGCCTAACTAAATTTGCTCATTTCCATGATGTGAGATATAGGCTAGAAACCGCATTCTTTGAGAGGGTGAGCTAAAAGCTCTTAATGATTATCATAGCCCTTAATTTTAGGGTGGTGTGCAAAAGCGGTACACACCTGATGATGTCACCTATATGGGTGTGAGGTGGGGCCGCCTCTATGAAGCATGACAAAACTTCTAGAGCACTCATGATGAAAACCAAGCACGCGCATGGCCTTACGGCGCACAACGGCGTAATAACGAGAAATTGTGCGGGGAGGGACACGACCGTTAAGACCCTGATTTACCAATAGTAGCTTGTTGGTTCATAGAAACTATATGTTTCACCAAAAGCTCGGTTTATTAAGACTTAATCATCTCGGTTTGGTTCATAGTCTACGGACACCAAACTTAAAGTCTCATTCCATTAATCCAGCGGAAATTTTATAAACTGTTTTAAAAATCTAAAACTATTCATTTGAAATATGTGGGGGATTGTTGGAAAAATAGGAGTATTTCAAATGAAAAAAAAAAGTTTTCTCAATTTTAATTATTTTGATAACTTAATTTAATCAAACATGTATCTTGCAAAATTATTAATTATTAAACTAATTTTTTAATATTGAATTTTAAATTCACTGCACACATTAAATCTCTTATACTAATATGAACGTTGCTATGGAGTTATATCAAACGTTAATATTCTTAATTAATATACAAACGTTTTTCTTAGCTGGAAGCAACGGTTCAGAGTTTGTATATTACACTTTGGCTGGAAGCTACGGTTTAACATTGGCCACTATATAATCACATTGGCTCGTAAATGTGTATATATAGACACTTGTATGTGGCTAAGAAGATATATGATTTTTGATTGAGTATCAGCCTACTAGCTAATATATACATATAATTTTGGAGTTAAACACCCCCTAATATTTTCACTCTGCTAGATTAATAATTTTATTCTACTCTCGTTGTTCTATTACCGGCCTACGCCGAAGAGCTCGTTTTATCTTGGGGAAAGGTTTTCGCTAGTCGGAAATACTTTCTTGAGGACAGCGTTTACGCGACTCGAGCTATATTATTTTTCTAACGCTTTTTTGCAGGTTTATCCGGCCAATTTCCTCCAACAGCCCCTGCCCGCAGCCTAATGAACAAGGAACATATTCTCTTCTCTTGGTTTTAGGTTTGGTGTGGTTTACTATGCTCTTATCACTACAAAAAAAATCGTCTGTAATCACGGACTTAGTCACGGACCGCAGTGTAAAAAATCCGTGACTAATTAACTATGTTAGTCACGGATTTTGTCCGTGACTAAGTCCGTGACTAATTCTTGACCGGAATTGCTATTCCGGCACGTTAGTCACGGACCATGTCCGTGACTAAGTTTAATTTAAATTTTTTATTTTTTATTGTAGTCAAGGACGTGTCCGTGACTACGTGTATTTTTGTTTTTAAATTCGACCATATTAGTCACAGACTGATCCGTGACTAAGTTTTGTAATTTTGAAATTTTCAAAAAGTCCGCGATTTAAATTTTCAAAATTTGTTTTAGTCACAGACATGTATCCGTGACTATGTTTTTTTATGATTTAGAAAAGAGTTCCGGACATTTATATATTAAATTTCACTAAAATTCCCTTAAAATTAACTAACGTCCAATAAGTAATATTAGTAAACTATAAACATGCACAATACATTAATGGCATTTAATTCATAATACTAAAATTATCACCATCTTAATCTTATTAATAATGCACATTTAACAATTCACTAAAATAAATAATATGAGCAAATCCAATAATTTGATCATATATATAATAAACTCATTTTAATTAAATAATACTTAAATTTAACTAATATTATAATTTTTTTTTACTAATTTATGTAATTCACAATCATAAATCATCATACTTAAGTAATGTTTCAATTAACTAACCCTAATTTAAATCATTATAAATTCTAAATTAGGCCGCCTTAACAATAATTGCTAAGAAAGAAACCATATAATTATATTTAACCATATATAAACTCATTTGAATTAAATAATACTTACATTTAACTAATATCATCTATAATTTAACTAATTTACGTAATTTTAATTAAATATAACTTAATTAACCCTATGTTTAAATTACACCTAAGTTTAACTAAATTTAAGGAATTTATTTCATTAATTAATTAACAACCTTTTTTAAAATGCATTTAATTTAAATTTAACTAATAATATTAACAAAAGTTTAAATAATTTAGCTAATTAATTTAACTTAATGCGTCACTACGATTAAACCTACGTTTAAGTAACTAATTTTTCACTAAATTAAATGAAATTGACGTATATATAATTTGTTATGTAATTAATAATCTCTCTAATTTATTACACTTAAAATGAACCATCTAATTCATACAAAAAAATACGTAATTCAAATTACATACCTTATTTGCATAAACATGGAAAATGATATAAGATGGGTAAATTACATCCTTCAATTCTATCTGGAATAGATCTTGTGATTTTGTTGAATGAAGCGGACAGGGGCGGAGCCAGGACACTGGACCAGACTAGGCCGGTACAAAGAATATTATAGGGAAAAAAATTACACGAATTTTTTTACACTAAAAATATTGGCTTTTTTTTAAATTTGGAGTGGGCCAGGGCCTAGCCTGGGCACCCCCTAGCTCCGCCCCTGGAAGTGAAGGCTGCATATATAAAACATGTAGTCACGGACGTAGTCACGGATGTGTCCGTGACTACGTAATTTTGTACGATTTATCGGTACACTTTAATTTTGAATCTTGTCACGGAATTAGTCACGGATTCGTCCGTGACTAATTTCAAATTTAAAAAAAAAAATCCACCGATGGCAAAATTGGGTTGGCCGGAATAGGTTAGTCACGGATATAATCCGTGACTTGTAACGCCCCTCTCAGGGTTAAAGGAAACGTTACATAAACTTACTATTTTAAAAAAACAATCTGCAATATAACGACCGTTTGTTTGAGAAATTAACCCTGATAAAATCTCAAATATAACTAAAATATAACTCCAAATAAAACTCAATAAAATCTAGTTATCACCAGCAAATGTGATAACCACCTGGATCCAGGAATTTACTAAAACTTCAAATCCTCAAATAAAATAAAGAAATAATAATCACTTTATTATATAACATCTGAAATACTTAAATAAAACAATAACTAGCTAGAAGCCGTCAAGGTCATTCCCGTTAACTCATTTCGGCACGCGTTCCACTCTCTCATCATCTTCCTAGGCCTTGGCCTTACCTTTTGTATCTATACATGCGAAGAAAGAAAACGGATAAGCTTTACGCTTAGTAAGTCACTATGGCTCCACAAAAATATTTGAGAAGTCTATGCTAATTTATCAATAGATAAATTTAGGCTGTAAGCATGCACTAAACATACAACGAACAATTAGCTTCTCAAATAAATTCTGAGAGAGATCCCAAAAGAAAATATTTTCTAAAATAATTTCTCAAAGCTACTGGAGAGATTTCAAAATTTTCTTTCTCAAAACATCTCTGTAAAACTTTCTGAAAGAGATCTCAAAAACAACTTTCTGTAAAACTTTCTGAAAGAGATCTCATAAACAACTTTC